TATGCCAGCTCTCTATCCCCTTACGGAAGGTTGTGTGGAGTAAGTGGTGCCTGGCTGCTACAGTGGCTACTTCCCAAATGGCACCCTATTCCCTATCCCCGTGTGACTCAGTTAGTAGAGCATGGCGCTTGCAACACCAGGGTTGTATGTTCGATTCCCATGGAGAATTGAACCAGTATGAAAAATGTTTGCACTCACTATAAGTCACTCTGGATAAGCATGTCAAATGTATATAGTGCACTACTTTTGACCAGTACCCAATATAGTGCACTACTATGGGCCCTGGTCAAAAGTAGTGCACTATATAGGGAATAGGGTGCCATTTGGGACGTAGCCAGTGTTTAGCAGGCCCATGTAAACACAGCAATAGGAAAGGGATCAGGAGGAGGAGACAGGCAGCCCCGTCGATATGAATGGGGGCGTGCTCAGCCCTCCATTTCCTGTATTCCACGATCAGCTCCTTTGTCTTGCTGACGTTAAAGGAGTGGTTGTTGTCCTGGCACCACACTGCCAGGTCTCTGACCTCCCTATAGGCTGTCTCATCATCATCGGCGATCAGACCAACCACCCTCGTGTCGTCAGCAAACTTAATTATGGCGTTGGAGTTGTGCGCTGCCACGCAGTCGTGGGTGAACAAGGAGTACAGGAGGGGAGTAAGCACGCACCCTGAGGGGCTCCCGTGTTGACGGTCAGAGTGGTGGATATGTTATTGCCCACCCTCACCACCTGGGGGCGGCCCGTCAGGAAGTTCAAGATCCAGTTGCAGAGGGAGGTGTTCAGTCCCAGGGTTTCCTGAGCTTAGTGATGAGCTTGGAGGGCACTATGGTGTTGAACACTGAGCTGTAGTCAATCAACAGCATTCTCACATAGATGTTCCTCTTGTCCAGGTGGGAGCGGGCAGTGTGGAGTGCAATAGAGAATGCGTCGTCTGTGGATCTGTTGGGGCGAAATGCAAATTGGAGTGGATCCAGGGTGTCTGGGATGATGGTGTTGATGTGAGCCATGACCAGCCTTTGAAAGCATTTCAAGGCTACAGATGTGAGTGCTATGGGGCGATAGTCATCTAGATAGGTTACCTTGTCATTCTTGGGACTATGGTGGTCTGCTTGAAACATGTAGGTATTACAGACTGGCTCAGGGAGAGGTTGAAAATGTCAGTGAAGACACTTGCCAGCTGGTCAGCCCATGTTCTGAGTACGCGTCCTGGTAATCCGTCTGGCCCCACGTCCTTGTGAATGTTGACCTGTTTAAAGGCCTTACTCACATCGGCTATGGAAAGCGAGATCATACAGTGGTCCAGAACAGCTGGTGCTCTCATGCATGGTTCAGTGTTGCTTGCCTCAAAGCAAGCATAGATAGGAATTTAGCTCGTTTGATAGGCTTGCGTCACTAGGCGCTTGCGGCTGGGAATCCCTTTGTAATCCATGATAGTTTGCAAGCCCTGCACATCCCACAAGCATCAGAGTCAGCATAGTAGGATTCGATCTTAGTCCTGTATTGATGTTTTGACTGTTTTATGGCTAGTCGGAGGTCGTAGCGGGATTTCTTATAAGCCTCCAGATTAGTGTCCCTCTCCTTGAAAGCGGCAGCTCTAGCCTTTAGCTCAGTGCGGATGTTGCCTGTAATCCATGGCCTGTGGTTGGGATATGTACGTACGGTCAGAGTGGGGATGATGTCGTCGATGCACTTATTAATTAAGCCGGTGACTGATGTGGTACTCATCAATGTTATTGGATGAATCCTGGAACATACACCAGTCTGTGCTAGCGAAACAGTCCTGTAGCTTAGCATCCGCTTCATCGGGCCACTTCCATATTGAGCACGTCACTGGTACTTCCTGTTTGAGTTTTTGCTTATAAGCAGGAATCAGGAGGATAGAGTTATGGTCAGATTTGCCAAATGGGGGGCAATGGAGAGCTTTGTATGTGTTTCTGTGTGTGGAGTAAAGGTGATCTAGAGTTTTTGCCTCTAGTTGCACAGGTGACATGCTGATAAAAGTGAGGTGAGACAGACTTCAGTTACCCCTGCAATAGAATCACTGGCCACTTGGTGCGCCACTTCTGGATGTGCATTTTCATGTTTGTTTATGGCCCTATACAGCTCATTGAGTGCGGTCTTAGTACCAGCATCGGTTTGTGGTTGTAAATAGACAGCTACGAAACATTTGGATGAAAACTCTCTTGGTAAATAGTATGGTCTGCAGCTTATCAATATGGCCGTTGTGGAGTTCTGCACCGGGGGCTCATTGTGCTTGAAGAATGCCAGGGTCAAGGGTGACAGGGGGGGGTGATGGGGCTTCCCCTGCGAGGGAGCAGGTGGCCTATAGGAGAGGCACAACAAAAGTGTCGACCGCCACCTGCTTGCACCTTTAACCATTCATGGTCTGTAGCGCAAGCCGACAACTGTGTCACAAAACACTGGTTCCACAGTTCCGCCAACCGCACAGGCCCATAGTCTGAGGTCCCGGCCGAGTGGCAGACCATTGGCTGGCTGAAAGCACCTGCCCGCCTGCCTTTTAACACAGACAGCAAGTGCTGAATACAACCTGTCCCGCTGCTGCTCTGACTGACAGACGTGATAATGACTTTGCTGTTCTTCTGTCCTCCTAGAATGTAGCCTAATGACTGGAGTCAACCAGTTTTTCGGCGTCGGATGTTTCCCGATCGGTGCTTCCTGTTGGGTGTAATTGAAGGGGTCAAAGGTTGTGGATGTGTTTAGGGTCAGCGGTGTGATGTATTCTCACCCTGCTTTGTGTAACCAGGGGCTCTGTCCTCCTCTCCTCTCCTCTCCTCTCCTCTCCTCTCCTCTCCTCTCCTCTCCTCTCCTCTCCTCTCCTCTCCTCTCCTCTCCTCTCCTCTCCTCTCCTCTCCTCTCCTCTCCTCTCCTTCTCTCCTCTCCTTCTCTCCTCTCCTCCTCAGTATGAATGAGGCCAGGACAGGACAGGAGTAGTGCTGCTATAGTTCACTGATGGAACACGGTGAACCTCTGACCCCTCTGTCTCTCTCAGGAAATGAGAACTCTGGGCAAAACGTCACAGGTCTCTGAGGGTTTATCTGTTTCAGGAAACACTGGGGTTGATGTCATTTTTCATACATGTCATATTGTATTTCAAAATGTCTGTAATTGTTTTACCTTAAGGATATGTTCTCTTTCATAATTTTTGGCTTGATCTTGAGCTGTTGGGAGATTTCTAACTTGTGTTATTTAAAAAACGTTTAAATCTGACTTGATGAAGAGCTAAGGGACATTGCTCACGGTGATGCTTGAAATAGCCTTGTCTGATAACTTCAACTGAACAGTCTTAGAGTCGAGGGTTTCTTTTTTTTTAAAGGAAAGAAAATTGTTCTGAATTCCTGAGAACCAAAGTAAACAGGCGACAGAATGAAGTCTGCTTTTAAAAAGCCCCTTCAGCAGCTGAGTAGCAGTACATCATGGAAGGAGGCTGAGTGGAGTGGGGGGATGTCCAGGCCAAGGAAGAAGGGGTGTTGAGTAGCAGTACATCATGGAAGGAGGCTGAGTGGAGTGGGGGGATGTCCAGGCCAAGGAAGAAGGGGTGTTTACATTTAGAGTGGGGGTTGCAAAGGGGGTCCTCCTAACCACAGTGGGCTCACATACAAGGCAGACTGTGTGTGTGGAACTGACCGAAGTCCCTCCCTCCTCTGTTTCCCTACAGATGAGCTGGAGAGAGAGAGAGAGAGAGAGAGAGAGAGAGAGAGAGAGAGAGAGAGAGAGAGAGAGAGAGAGAGAGAGAGAGAGAGAGAGAGAGAGAGAGAGAGAGAGAGAGAGCAAGCGAGTGAGAGAGGGAGAAGCTGTGTGTGTGAGTGTGTATGTGAGAGAGGTGCTGAGTCCTGAAGAGGTCACACAACAGGACAGAGCCCAGCTAGCGCTGCTGAGACGGACTATGCAGAGTAGTGTCTGAGTTTGTCCTGAGGACAGACACCACAACTGGTAAGATAACTCTACAGCTGGTGTGTGTATACAGTAGTTTGTTGTTTTTATGTGCTTTTGTTTAATTTAATTTAATCTCATGTGATTTCATTTAGTTTTATTCAAATGTATGTGATTTCATTTAATTGTATTTACCTTTATGTGATTTCATTTGATTTAATTTAACCTTTTTTTAACCATGCAAGTCATTTAACAACAAATTCATTTTTCATTACACTAGCTAGGTTTCCATCCAATTGGCGACAGATTTTCATGCAAATATTCTAGAATCCGCATAAAGAAAATATGCGCATTTTCCCACCAGTGGTATGTTTCCACCAAATGGACTTGTTTTGGACAAAAATCAGTGCGTGATGAGGTAGTGCACACAAAATGTACTTTTTCACTTAAGTTTTCATGTACAAATAAAAATCTAAAGTTCAATGTGTTTTCATCGCATTTTCAAATAACAAATGTGCCTACTCTGGTCTTGGCAGCTGCGCTGTAGCCAACAGCTTGCAGATACAGGGTATGCTGTGCGGGTGAGTATCTACATGATGAGATTATTATGGATAAGAGCAAGAATATTTTTATTTGTCAAACGGCAGTCAAGCATCAATCATCATGTCAGCAGAATAAGACCCTCAATATTTATTGAAAAGCAGCGTCAAGCTCATCACCGTACACTTTCACCACCCTGTGAAGTTCATCATAACTTATTTAATTTGTTGCCTAATAAACTGCGTAGTGGGAGGAACCACACTCCATATCATCGCGTGACTCCAAATGTACTTCGAAATGATGATTATTATATCAGTATTTGCACATAAAGGCGTTTCCACCGCCATTTCCCGCATAATTAATTTTAGCGACACAAAAAGATACCACCATGTCGAACAAACAAATTATCTGTTGGCATTTATACAATTATGCCGAAAATTCCTGTTCCCATTTTTTTTAATACAATATGACTTTACTCGCATAAAAACTGTGTATGGAAACATGATTATTGACATTCTCTCTTGATTATCTCTCATGCTGATATTTTGCCTTCTGCCCTACTACAGATCGGAATGGGAAACACTGACAGCCAGTACAGCAGCTTCAACGTCCCTGGGAAACCCAAACCCTGCTCTCAAAAGTTCCACTCCATTAAGGAGGAGGTCCTGTCCCCCTATAGCTGGTGGAGGGGCAGCGAGGGGGGTGGCCAGGGGAACAAAACCAGAGGCAAGGAAGGGAGGGTCTGCCTGCCCCAGCACAAGATCACTCACAACCAACCTTATGGTTCGTTGCGACACTATGAGCACCACATCGCCAAGGAGGGCAGGGGACTGGGAGGGCCCCCAGGAGCCAAGCTGAAGCCCAGCTCTCCGCAGCGTTGTGGCAGAGGGGACAGCTCCCAAGTGACCAGGAAAAGCAGTTGTCATAATGGCTATGGTTTCCTGGAGAGTAGCGGGGAGAATGTGAACGGTCTCGGGGCTAACGGACAGTGCAACCCTGAGATGACTTCTCTGTGTGAGCCAATAGAGAGCCGCAGCAGCCCCAAGGTGCTCCTCAGTAAGGACGGCAGCATGCATGTGGAGTTCACCAACGCCAGGAGGATGTCTCTGGAGCCTCAAGGTCTTTCAGGCCACAGCCACCCCGCGGTAGCAACCCCAGAGCCCTCTCTGACTAGGACCAGTAAAGGTAGCTCGCTCAGCTCCGAGGGGTCCTGGTACGACTCTCCTTGGGGGAACACCACAGAGCTCAACGACAATGTGTTCACATGTAGTCAGACTGCAGCGAGGGACAACAGTAGTGGCTACACCACCTTCTCATCCGCCCATACTGAGGACATCTCCACGGGGTTCAAGCCCAGCCTCCTCTTCCAGACTGTGGATAGTAACGGACAATATACAAGCCGAGGGTTTAACAGCAATGGGTATAACACTTGCTCTTTGGGCCGCACTGAGGACAGTGGCATCGGAGATTCCATGATTCTCTACCCGGAGCAGAGTCCGTTTAGCCTCCCCTCCCCTCCCGTGTCCCTGTCTGACCTTTATACTGACTCTAACCCCAGCGTGGCGGCTACGTACCCCACCGCTCAGTTCCAGGACATCCCCCAGCACCGGGCGTCGCTGGCCTCGGTGCTGACCCTGGACGTGGTCGACCAGGAAGAGAGCTCAGAGTTGGGCGACCAGCGCTACTCCTCCACTCACAGTCACACGCTGCCCTGCAGGAGGGTCGCCGCCGAGCCCACCTCCATCGCCGTCAGCAACAGCAGGAAGGACAACCTGAAGAGCCGCATCCGGCACCTCAGCGACTGGACAGGAAGTCTGAGCAGGAAGAAGAGAAGACTACAGGTGAGGAAGGAGGGAAAGAAAGGAGAGATGGAAGGAGGAGGGGAGGGTACATAGTGAAGGGGGGAAGGGGCTAAGACTGGACATGTAGTGTAGACTCTTTATCAGATTACCTGTTCCCAGTTACCTATGAGATGAGACTGCTGGCTGAGTATGTGTGATGGTAATCTCATTGTTCAGGTTGTTTTGGCCAACGTGATTGACTGATGGCCGTTGGCTCTTAGATCCAATCAGATGAAGCAGAACACTGCAGTGTCACAGGAATGTCTCTCTGTCTAATATCATCCTATGGCTCTTAAATACCATCAGGCTCACAGTTGTCAGACTGGAGCCTTGGAGATACTCGTGTAGATTGTTCTTTAAACAAAATCAAGCAAGTGAGAGAAACACTCTTAAACACTACTATGAAAGGAAAACCCCCACAAAATATAGTATTCTAAATCGTTTCAGAACCTTCTATCATTTTGACAGATGTTATGTAAGTCTCCTTAAGGCTTTGTATCGAATTTGAGGGGAAAGATTTCAAAGGTTGGAGGTCAGAAAGGAAATCTTCCCCGCTTCTTTTGTTGCCGGAGAACGGTACATTAGGCCAGAGTCACACATGACCAAGCATTTCCAGCATTACTTGAGCTAAAATACTATAGTGCCTTGAATAGCCTTCATTTGTCGACAGTGGACAAGAGGATGCAATCAGGTAATAATGATGGTGTTATATGACTCCATGGCGTTTTTTCTCTGTATTGTATAGCAGGCTGAGACCCTGCCTCCTGGCTATGTAAGAGGAACCCTGTTTATTGTTCGCTATTAATGAGAGATTACGGTCACCGTTCTACTGAACCAGTGATGTTAGGAAGGGCTTTGTCTTGTTCCAGTGGGAATGGGAATGAATTAATAGATACAGCATTTAAGAGCTTTAGATCAGTGGGTCAAGAATCGAGAGTACTCATTCACAGGTGGGTTCACCCAAAGATACCTACAGTATAACTAACTTACCCTTTCATCTGTGAGTCGAGACTAGAGCCTGATTCCTTTTGGGTCGCAGTCTAAGACTAGGTCCTGGTTTTGTTTATTTGTTGGTCACAAGAAACCTTTAAAATGTTTAGGCGGAGCACAAGTCACAAAAAACCTTTAAGATGTTTAGGCGGAGCACAAGTCACAAGAAACCTTTAAGATGTTTAGGCGGAGCACAAGTCACAAGAAACCTTTAAGATGTTTAGGCGGGACACAAGTCACAAGAAACCTTTAAGATGTTTAGGCAGAGCACAAGTCACAATAAACCTTTAAGATGTTTAGGAGGGACACAAGTCACAAGAAACCTTTAAGATGTTTGGGCGGGACACAAGTCACAAGAAACCTTTAAGATGTTTAGGCGGGACACAAGTCACAAGAAACCTTTAAGATGTTTAGGCGGAGCACAAGTCACAAGAAACCTTTAAGATGTTTAGGCAGGACACAAGTCACAAGAATGTTTGGATAATATCCATGTGTTCTGTTACCCGTACCAGGGACATTGCATGCTATTATTATACGTGACTGATTGTTACAAAGTAGAGTATCATGTTAGAGTTTCATGTTAGAATATCTCACAATACATTTCATATTGTTTTCTAATAGAAATAGACAACAATTGCATCCTGTTCAGGAAATGGTAGTCAAGAAATAGATGAGAATGTGGCTCTTCTGTGTCCCTGATCTTGTGATATTGTAAGATGATCGTTTAACTTTACACACAAAGGTCTAGTTAGTTAGCTATTCAGACTTGTTTTCCTCCTCAAAACCATCCTGCTCTCTCTCTATTTCTCTCTCTCTCTTACTCTCTCTCGCTCTCTCTCTCTCCCTAGAATCCTTATGGTAGTCAGTCCAGTGAAGGCTTTATCAGTGGAGTTGATCCTGGGTTAGGTGACTCCAGCGCCCAGGTAACTGGTCCAGTATGGAACCCCCTCCACACCCAGACCTTGTCAGTCCACTCTGGGGCCTCCAGGGTCCAACAGTGCCACAGCGACGCCTTGCGGCAGAACATCTATGAGAATTTCATGCAGGAGCTGGAGACAGGAGGCTACAGTGGGCCGGAGCAGACTGAGCCCTCGGAGGATGGAGAGGGGGAGGACATGGGAGGAGAGAGGGGAATAGGAGAGGGGGAACAGGGGGTGAGCAGTGGCAGTGGCTCTGTGGGCTCTCTGGAGCAGCTGGACCTGCTGTTTGAGAAGGAGCAGGGGGTGGTGCGCAGGGCCGGCTGGCTCTTCATCAAACCCCTCCTCACCCTGCATAAGGACAGGAAGCTGGAGCTGGTGGCCCGCAGGAAGTGGCGGCAGTACTGGGTCACACTTAAAGGTAGGGCTCCCTCCGCCTTCCACCTGCACTCGCTGGAAATAACCTGTAATACATACAGACAATAGGGGTACATCCCAAATGGCACCCTATTCCCTATATGGTGCACTTCTTTTTACCAGAGCCCTAGTGCACTATAAAGGGAATAGGGTGCCATTTGGGATGCTGCTTAGGTCCCTCTTGGGAAATAAGTCTTCTGACCTCCATTGGACAACCTGGTTAAATAAAGGTTCATTAAAAATAAAAACAGCAAGAACAGCATCTGTTGCTGCATGCACATTGTTTGATATATGTTCTGTAGGTATTCCCCCTACAAGGCTATTGTTGACATCGAGACATTGTGTCATAATATGGTACTAAAGCTGTGTCTTAGCTAAAGCCTCCTCTCCTCCCTGGTGCATACAGGGTGTAGCCTCCTGTTCTATGAGACCTATGGGAAGAGCAGCTGTCCCGAGCAGGAGCTGTCTCCGCGCTACGCCCTGCTTGCTGAGGACAGCATAGTCCAGGCCATCCCCGAACACCCCAAGAAGGAGAACGTCTTCTGTCTGAGCAACGGCTACGGAGACGTCTATCTGTTGCAGGTACGTTCTACCCTAGGCTCGCACACCAGATTTCTCCCCAAGCTCGGATGTACAGTAGCTACAGTGCCTTGCAAAAGTATTCAACCCCCTTGGAGTTTTTCCTATTTTGTTGCATTACAACCTTTAATTTAAATTGATTTTTATTTGGATTTCATGTAATGGACATACACAAAATAGTCCAAAATGGTGAAGTGGAATGAAAAAAATAACTTGTTTCAATAAATTATAAAAAATAAATAACGGAAAAGTGGTGTGTGCATATGTATTCACCCCCTTTGCTATGAAGCCCCTAAATAAGATCTGGTGCAACCAATTACCTTCAGAAGTCACATAATTAGTTAAATAAAGTCCACCTGTGTGCAATCTAAGTGTCACATGATCTCAGTATATATACACCTGTTCTGAAAGGCCCCAGAGTCTGCAACACCACTAAGCAATGGGCACCACCAAGCAAGCAGCACCATGAAGACCAAGGAGCTCTCCAAACAGGTCAGTTGCAAAGTTGTGGAGAAGTACAGATCAGGGTTGGGTTATAAAAAAATATCTGAAACTTTGAACATCCCACGGAGCACCATTAAAACCATTATTAAAAAATTGAAAGAATATGGCACCACAACAAACCTGCCAAGAGAGGGCCGCCCACCAAAACTCACGGACCAGGCAAGGAGGGCATTAATCAGAGAGGCAACAAAGAGACCAAAGATAACGCTGAAGGAGCTGCAAAGTATCTGTCCATAGGACTACTTTAAGCCGTACACTCCACAGAGCTGGGCTTTACGGAAGAGTGGCCAGAAAAAAGCCATTGCTTAAAGAAAAAAATAAGCAAACACGTTTGGTGTTCGCCAAAAGGCATGTGGGGGACTCCCCAAACATATGGAAGAAGGTACTCTGGTCAGATGAGACTAAAATTGAGCTTTTTGGCCATTAAGGAAAATGCTATGTCTGGCGCAAACCCAACACCTCTCATCACCCCGAGAACACCATCCCCACAGTGAAGCATGGTGGTGGCAGCATCATGCTGTGGGGATGTTTTTCATTGGCAGGGACTGGGAAACTGGTCAGAATTGAAGGAATGATGGATGATGCTAAATACAGGGAAATTCTGGAGGGAAACCTGTTTCAGTCTTCCAGAGATTTGAGACTGGGACAGAGGTTCACCTTCCAGCAGGACAATGACCCTAAGCATACTGTAAAGCAACACTCGAGTGGCTTAAGGGGAAACATTTAAATGTATTGGAATGGCCTAGTCAAAGCTCAGACCTCAATACAATTGAGAATCTGTGGTATGACTTAAAGATTGCTGTACACCAGCGGAACCCATCCAACTTGAAGGAGCTGGAGCAGTTTTGCCTTGAAGAATGGGCAAAAATCCCAGTGGCTAGATGTGCCAAGCTTATAGAGACATACCCCAAGATACTTGCAGCTGTAATTGCTGCAAAAGGTGTCTCTACAAAGTATTGACTTTGGGGGGGTGAATAGTTATGCACGCTCAAGTTTTCTGTTTTTTTTGTCTTATTTCTTGTTTGTGTCACAATTTTTTTTATTTTGCATCTTCAAAGTGGTAGGCATGTTGTGTAAATCAAATGATACAATGTAAGGCAACAAAATAGAAAAAATGCCAAGGGGGGTGAATACTTTTGCCACTGTAATGACTATGTTGGTGTTGGTTGTGTCCTGTCTGGGTGTATTGACGGCTTTACAGCTCCATTGCTATACTGTATGTTCTATAAGAGGGTGAAATGGCAGGGTTGGGAAAAACGTCCCTATTTCCCCATATAGTGCCCCATGGGACCTGGTCAAATGTAGTGCACTATGTTAGGAATAGGGTGCCGTTTGGGGTGCATCCTGTGTGTCTGTTTGGCAATAGGGTTCTTGGCCTCATTTTTCCACATTCGAGAGGGAAGGTATTTTCACTTTAATGTTCTTCACACTCAGTTTTACGAGCGTTGAAAGCACCTTCTTTTCCCCAGAGAGTAACATTCATTTGATTTAGTTACCAAGTGTTTACCAGACACACAAATCACACCGCAGGGCTGTATATACCCAACATCACCATGGCAATGGGGAAACCTTGGCCTGTTGCACTGAGGCACTGAGGGAGTGAAGCATTATAGTGAAAGTGATGAATGTGTCAAGGGGCTTTTGTCTGGCACTTAAGGAGCCCCATCTGGGAATAGAGAGAGAAAGCAGAGTAATGACAACCATGTTCCCCTGCCCTTCCCTTGGCCTGGCACTGTGTCACCTGGCCCTATGTTCCCCTGCCCTTCCCTTGGCCTGGCACTGTGTCACCTGGCTCTATGTTCCCCCGCCCCATGGCACTGTGTCACCTGGCCTCATTCTTCCCCGCAGGCTGCCAATCAGACGGACCTGGAGAACTGGGTGACAGCCATCCACTCTGCCAGTGCCTCTCTGTTGGCCAAGAGAAAGGGGAAGGATGACACGGTGCGGTTCCTGATGAGCCAGACCGGCGCCCTGCTGCAGAAGATAGACATGGACAGCAAGATGAAGAAGATGGCTGAGCTGCAGCTGTCTGTCATCAGTGACCAGAGGAACAGGAAGGCCATCAAGAGCCAGGTGAGGCACTGGGATTAGTTGAAACTGGGGTTTTATGCTTTCAGACCCAAGCAAGATGACATAAGGAAAGTAATTTGTATTCCAGATGTTCTTAGTCTAATGGACTAGTACAACACATTCGGTCCACTCCACTTAGAAGTCTGTTGTAATGGGAAACCCAGATGAGGGGGACATTTTGCATAACACACCAACTGCAGATGAGGAGGACGTTTTATTGCGTAACACACCAATGCAGATGAGGAGGATGTTTTATTGCATGACACACCAAATGCTAATGTGTTGACAGGATCCCAGTCAACATGGTTGTGTCCCAAATGGCACCCTATTCCCTATGTAGTGCACTACTTTTGACCAGGGCCCATAGGGTTCTAGTGAAAAGTAGTGCACTATATAAGGAATAGAGTGCCATTTGGGACACAGCCATGGCCAAGGGGTGGGTCATCATATGCCCAGTTTGGGGGGTAATCAGGGGATAAAACCCCCAGCGCCTCTGAGTCCTACTGCAGCTGGCCTCAACTCATCTCCAGGACCACTGGCCACTTTGGTGTCCAATGGTCGGTCTCTCTGAAAGTGATACCAATTCTCTCTGCCATTTGAAGTGAACATCTTAGACCTCATCTCTAGATTACAACTCTAATCTTACTGCTCTTCAAACAATGACACTGTTAATACACATTCACCCTCTGTGAAGGGGAGGGAGAGAGGGAGGAGAGAGGGAGAGAGGGAGGAGAGAGAGGAGAGAGGGAGAAGAGAGGGAGAGAGAGAGGAGAGAGGGAGAAGAGGGGGAGAGAGAGAGTAGGGGGGGGGGGGGGGGGATGAGCAAGAGAGAGTCCATCGTTTGTCACCACTGGGTGTGTTGGATAAGGGCGATTTACTGTGATTATGTGGCATAGCTCCAATGAGCCATGTGGCTTGTTCTGAAGTTAGAGACACCCCTATAAATGTGAGGGTGGATGCCATTCAGTCACCTCGTCACCCTCTGTGTACAGTCGTGGTCAAAACGTTTTGAGAATGACACAAGTATTGGTCTTCACAAAGTTTGCTGCCTCAGTGTTTTTAGATATATTATGGTATACTGAAGTATAATTACAAGCATTCCATAAGTGTCAAAGGTTTTTATTGACAATTACATTAAGTTTATGCAAAGAGTCACTATTGGCAGTGTTGACCCTTCTTTTTCAAGACCTCTGCAATCCGCCCTGGCATGCTGTCAAATAACGTCTGGGCCACATCCTGACTGATGGCAGCCTATTCTTGCATAATCATTTCTTGGTTTTTGTTTATCCACCCGCCTCTTGAGGATTGACCACAAGTTCAGGGGGATTCATCAGAGAAAATGACTTAACCCCAGTCCTCAGCAGTCCAATCCATGTACCTTTTGCAGAATATCAGTCTGTCCCTGATGTTTTTCCTGGAGAGAAGTGGCTTCCTCGCTGCCCTTCTTGACACCAGGCCATCCTCCAAAAGTCTTCACCTCACTGTGCGTGCAGATGCACTCACACCTGCCTGCTGCCATTCCTGAGCAAGCTCCGCACTGGTGGTGTCCCGATCCCGCAGCTGAATTAACTTTAGGAGACGGTCCTGGCACTTGCTGGACTTTCTTGGGCGCCCTGAAGCCTTCTTCACAACAATTGAACCTCTCTCCTTGAAGTTGTTGATGATCCGATAAATGGTTGATTTAGGTGCAATCTTACTAGCAGCAATATCCTTGCCTGTGAAGCCCTTTTTGTGCAAAGCAATAATGACGGCACGTGTTTCCTTGCAGTTAACCATGGTTAACAGATGAAGAACAATGATTTCAAGCACCACCCTCCTTTTAAAGCTTCCAGTCTGTTATTCTAACTCAATCCGCATGACAGAGTGATCTCCAGCCTTGTCCTCGTCAACACTCTCACCTGTGTTAACGAGAGAATCACTGACATGATGTCAGCTGGTCCTTTTGTGGCAGGGCTGAAATGCAGTGGAAATGTTTTTTGGGGATTAAGTTCATTTTCATGGCAAAGAGGGACTTTGCAATTAATTGCAATTCATCTGATTACTCTTCATAACATTCTGGAGTATATGCAAATTAACATCTTAAAAACTGAGGTAGCAGACTTTGTGAAAATTAATATTTGTGTCATTCTCAAAACTTTTGACCACGACTGTACTATGGTGGGACCAGAGCCAAGTCATGAGTAAAAACGTTTAAAAAATGTGCTGCTGTTTTGCTTGTTTGCAGCGGGTCATTTCATTGTGTAATGATCGGAGGCCCTTTCGTAATGTCACATCACCAAAAGTTTCGGAAGTACAGTGAGGGGAAAAAAGTATTTGATCCCCTGCTGATTTTGTACTTTGCCCACTGACAAAGAAATGATCAGTCTATAATTTTAATGGTAGGTTTATTTGAACAGTGAGAGACAGAATAACAACAAAAAAATCAAAAATGTTATAAATTGATTTGCATTTTAATGGGGGAAATAAGTATTTGAACCCCTCTCAATCAGAAAGATTTCTGGCTCCCAGGTGTCTTTTATACAGGTAATGAGCTGAGATTAGGAGCACACTCTTAAAGGGAGTGCTCCTAATCTCAGCTTGTTACCTGTATAAAATACACCTGTCCACAGAAGCAATCAATCAATCAGATTCCAAACTCTCCACCATGGCCAAGACCAACGAGCTCTCCAAGGATGTCAGGGACAAGATTGTAGACCTACACAAGGCTGGAATGGGCTACAAGACCATCGCCAAGCAGCTTGGTGAGAAGGTGACAACAGTTTGTGCGATTATTCGCAAATGGAAGAAACACAAAAGAACTGTCAATCTCCCTCGGCCTGGGGCTCCATGCAAGATCTCACCTCGTGGAGTTGCAATGATCATGAGAACGGTGAGGAATCAGCCCAGAACTACAAGGGAGGATATTGTCAATGATCTCAAGGCAGCTGGGACCATAGTCACCAAGAAAACAATTGGTAACACACTACGCCGTGAAGGACTGAAATCCTGCAGCCCCCGCAAGGTCCCCCTGCTCAAGAAAGCACATATACATGCCCGTCTGAAGTTTGCCAATGAACATCTGAATGATTCAGAGGAGAACTGGGTGAAAGTGTTGTGGTCAGATGAGACCAAAATTGAGCTCTTTGGCATCAACTCAACTCGCTGTGTTTGGAGGAGGAGGAATGCTGCCTATGACCCCAAGAACACCATCCCCACCGTCAAACATGGAGGTGGAAACATTATGCTTTGGGGGTGTTTTTCTGCTAAGGGGACAGGACAACTTCACTGCATCAAAGGGACGATGGACGGGGCCATGTACCGTCAAATCTTGGGTGAGAACCTCCTTCCCTCAGACGGGGCATTGAAAATGGGTCGTGGATGGGTATTCCAGCATGACAATGACCCAAAACACACGGCCAAGGCAACAAAGGAGTGGCTCAAGAAGAAACACATTAAGGTCCTGGAGTGGCCTAGCCAGTCTCCAGACCTTAATCCCATAGAAAATCTGTGGAGGGAGCTGAAGGTTCGAGTTGCCAAACGTCAGGCTCAACCTTAATGACTTGGAGAAGATCTGCAAAGAGGAGTGGGACAAAATCCGTCCTGAGATGTGTGCAAACCTGGTGGCCAACTACAAGAAACGTCTGACCTCTGTGATTGCCAACAAGGGTTTTTCCACCAAGTACTATGTCATGTTTTGCAGAGGGGTCAAATACTTATTTCCCTCATTAAAATGCAAATCAATTTATAACATTTTTGACATGCGTTTTTCTGGATTTCTTTGTTGTTATTCTGTCTCTCACTGTTCAAATAAACCTACCATTAAAATTATAGACTGATCATTTCTTTGTCAGTGGGCAAACGTACAAAATCAGCAGGGGATCAAATACTTTTTTCCCTCACTGTAAAGTTGCTAATATGGCGAACTGTGTCAGAGTTGGCCAAACTCTCACTCTATACTGTATATATGGTTCTGGGTGTGACTGTGAGCATGTGTTTCTGCCTTGCATGGTATCTCATTGTCAATAAGAGGATGGAGAAGCCATCCTGTCACCTTGAGAGTGACTGTAATACTGTGTACTGTGATGTGACCCTGTATGTCTGTCTGTCTGTTTCTCCCCAGATCCAGCAATGGGAGCAGAACCTGGAGAAGTTCAACATGGACCTGTTCCGGATGCGCTGTTACCTGGCCAGCCTGCAGGGCAGTGAGCTCCCCAACCCCAAGAGTCTCCTGGCCGTGGCCGGAAGGCCCTCCAAGACCACCCTGGGACGCCTGGGGATCTTCTCTGTCTCCTCCTTTCATGCCCTGGTGAGGCCTGATCTACTGCTTCACATCCATATCAACCCTCAGCTTGGGACATTGACATTTCACACATTTTCTGGACCAGTTCCATTGAAAACTCCTTTATTTATCCCCTTTTAAGAAAGCAATTAAGAATGTTATTGAATGCGATCTATATTTACTATGATCGGAAAACATCAGCCTGTTCTCTGGTCAGATTTTTTATACAGATAAAATAAGTAAAACAGTGAAGTCTCTAACCACAGAAGTGATGTCTTTTAATGTCCTCAGATCTGCACGCGTGACGAGGCGACCCTGCAGAAGCGTTGCCGATCTCTTTCCCGAGGAACGCTGAACAAGAGGGGTCTCTTCTCCTCCCTCAAGCGTCTGGACAGCCTGACCAAACGCAGCAAGGAGAAGAGGCAGTCCGTGTCCCAGGTACTGTACAACCAACCTGCAACTTTCCTACAACCTTCTTACAACCTCCCTACAACCTTCCCACAACCTATTTACAACTTTACTACAACCTCCCTACAACCTTACACTCCCACACCATGTGAGTGGTAAAAGTAAAGATTAACTAATTGAGGAGGTAGATGTTCTGTACTCGATAAGCCTCTGGATTACCCTCCCAAAGCTATTATTAGGTTAACTGAACCTATCAGATGGGAAAGATCTGTGCGGGTTAGCCCCCCCCCCCCCCCCCCCCCCCCCCCCCCGTTACCCTGTTTGCCTTTTTCCTGTTCTCCTCCTTATCACCTGTATAAACAATATTTATAGAACGTTTCTGGAGCCCTTCACTTTTTTGAACAGAGAGCCTGTTTGACAAATCCAGCAGAGAAGAAGCGGAATGTGTTTTAAGCACTAACTGACTCCTCACCAAGCCATAAATTAGCCAGACTGACGGGGTTGAACTTGCAACATTTTCCAGCGGGAGAGAGGCAGGGGGTTGCTCGTCGTAAAGCTATCTTTCCTGTACGTCGTTTGGTAACATTCCAAACTGAGGCGAAGAGTGACGGAATTGTTTTGTTTTGTTTTCCCCGGTCAGGGGCAGTAGTTAGCAACCTGCTGAAATTCTCACCATCAGTCATTGAAGTCAAGTCAATACTCTCCAACACCACTGTCCAAGCCCCAGCCCCCAGCTGTCCCAGCCACTGCCCCTGTCTTAGTCCCTGCTCAAGCCCCTATTCCCCAGCATCAGCCCCAGCACTATTCCCCAGCTCCAGCCCCTGCTGCAGCCCCAACCCCTGTTCTTGTCCCAGCCCCTATCCCAGCATCAGCCCCAGCACTATTCTCCAGCCCCTGCTGCAGCCCGAACCCCTGTCCTTGTCCCAGCCCCTATCCCAGCATCAGCCCCAGCACTATTCCCCAGCTCCAGCCCCTGCTGCAGCCCCAACCCCTGTCCTTGTCCCAGCCCCTATCCCAGCATCAGCCCCAGCATTATTCCCCAGCTCCAGCCCCAACCCCTGTCCTTGTCCCAGCCCCTATCCCAGCATCAGCCCCAGCACTATTCCCCAGCTCCAGCCCCTGCTGCAGCCCCAACCCCTGTCCTTGTCCCAGCCCCTATCCCAGCATCAGCCCCAGCATTATTCCCCAGCTCCAGCCCCAACCCCTGTCCTTGTCCCAGCCCCTATCCCAGCATCAGCCCCAGCACTATTCCCCAGCTCCAGCCCCTGCTGCAGCCCCAACCCCTGTTCTTGTCCCAGCCCCTATCCCAGCATCAGCCCCAGCACTATTCCCCATCCCCTGCTGCAGCCCCAACCCCTGTCCTTGTCCCAGCCCCTATCCCAGCATCAGCCCCAGCACTATTCCCCAGCTCCAGCCCCTGCTGCAGCCCCAACCCCTGTCCTTGTCCCAGCCCCTATCCCAGCATCAGCCCCAGCATTATTCCCCAGCTCCAGCCCCAACCCCTGTCCTTGTCCCAGCCCCTATCCCAGCATCAGCCCCAGCACTATTCCCCAGCTCCAGCCCCTGCTGCAGCCCCAACCCCTGTCCTTGTCCCAGCCCCTATCCCAGCATCAGCCCCAGCACTATTCCCCAGCTCCAGCCCCTGCTGCAGCCCCAACCCCTGTCCTTGTCCCAGCCCCTATCCCAGCATCAGCCCCAGCACTATTCCCCAGCTCCAGCCCCTGCTGCAGCCCCAACCCCTGGCCTTGTCCCAGCCCCAGCTATAGCGCCTGCCTTTCCCTCTCTCTGTCTGATAAACAGCTAGCCTTCAGAGAGTGGTCTATTTTGGGATGTTGATAGGATATGTTATCTCTAGGACTCCAGTGAAGGACAAACCACACTGCTCACCATCACTGTTTAGTTCTGTCCAGGGTGACATTACATTAGACAGACTGACTTGTATAATATGATGATAGGATATACAGTGGAGAAAAAAAGTATTTAGTCAGCCGCCAATTGTGCAAGTTCTCCCACTTAAAAAGATGAGAGAGGCCTGTAATTTTCATCATAGGTAAACGTCAAATATGACAGACAAATTGAGAAAAAAATATCCAGAAAATCACATTGTAGGATTTTTAATGAATTTATTTGCAAATTATGGTGGAAAATAAGTATTTGGTCACCTACAAACAAGCAACATTTCTGGCTCTCACAGACCTGTAACTTCTTCTTTAAGAGGCTCCTCTGTCCTCCACTCGTTACCTGTATTAATGGCACCTGTTTGAACTTGTTATCAGTATAAAAGACACCTGTCCACAACCTCAAACAGTCACACTCCAAACTCCACTATGGCCAAGACCAACGAGCTGTCAAAGGACACCAGAAACAAAATTGTAGACCTGAACCAGGCTGGGAAGACTGAATCTGCAATAGGTAAGCAGCTTGGTTTGAAGAAATCAACTGTGGGAGCAATTATTAGGAAATGGAAGACATACAAGACCACTGATAATCTCCCTCGATCTGGGGCTCCACGCAAGATCTCACCCCGTGGGGTCAAAATGATCACAAGAACGGTGAGCAAAAATCCCAGAACCACATGGGGGGACCTAGTGAATGTCCTGCAGAGAGCTGGGACCAAAGTAACAAAGCCTACCATCAGCAACACACTACGCCGCCAGGGACTCAAATCCTGCAGTGCAAGACGTGTCCCCCTGCTTAAGCCAGTACATGTCCAGGCCCGTCTGAAGTTTGCTAGAGTGCATTTGGATGATCCATAAGAGGATTGGTAGAATGTCAAATGGTCAGATGAAACCAAAAAATAAAAAACTCAACTCGTCGTGTTTGGAGGACAAAGAATGCTGAGTTGCATCCAAAGAACACCATACCTACTGTGAAGCATGGGGGTGGAAACATCATACTTTGGGGCTGTTTTTCTGCAAAGGGACCAGGACGACTGATCCGTGTAAAGGAAAGAATGAATGGGGCCATGTATCGTGAGATTTTGAGTGAAAACCTCCTTCCATCAGCTAGGGCATTGAAGATGAAACGTGGCTGGGTCTTTCAGCATGACAATGATCCCAAACACACCGCCCGGGCAACGAAGGAGTGGCTTCGTAAGAAGCATTTCTAGGTCCTGGAGTGGCCTAGCCAGTCTCCAGATCTCAACCCCATAGAAAATCTTTGGAGGGAGTTGAAAGTCCGTGTTGCCCAGCGACAGCCCCAAAACATCACTGCTCTAGAGGAGATCTGCATGGAGGAATGGGCCAAAATACCAGCAACAGTGTGTGAAAACCTTGTGAAGACTTACAGAAAACGTTTGACCTGTGTCATTGCCAACAAAGGGTATATAACAAAGTATTGAGAAACTTTTGTTATTGACCAAATACTTATTTTCCACCATAATTTGCAAATAAATTCATAAAAAATCCTACAATGTGATTTTCTGGAAAAAAATGTCTCATTTTGTCTGTCATAGTTGACGTGTACCTATGATGAAAATTACAGGCCTCTCTCATCTTTTTAAGTGGGAGAACTTGCACAATTGGTGGCTGACTAAATACTTTTTTTCCCCACTGTATATAGTAAGCCCACTTCCCCCCCCGACACATGCTCTGTGTTGACATTCTGAAAGATACATCTCACAGTCACACCTGGAGTCTGTTTAGTCACATGGCCATATGCTGCTGATCCAGACAGCATACGTTGGTAATCAGAGCCATCACAGTAATACATGGTCGCTGTGTAATATAATACACACACACATACACTGAGTGTACCAAACATTAAGGACACTTTCTTAATATTGAGTCGCACCCCCTTTTGCCCTCAGAACAGCCTCAATTCGTCTGGGCATACTCTACAAGTTGTCGAAAGCATTCCACAGGGATGCTGGCCCATGTTGACTCCAATGCTTCCCACAGTTGTGTCACATTGACTGGATGTCCTTTGGGTGGTGGACCATTCTTGATACACACGGGAAACTGTTGAGCGTGAAAAACCCAGCAGCGTTGCAGTTCTTGACACAAACCGTTGCGCCTGGCACCCTCCTACCATACCCCGTTCAAAGGCACTTAAATATTTTGTCTTGCCCATTCACCCTCTGAATGGCACACATACACAATCCATGTCTCAATTGTCTCGAGGCTTAAACATCCTCCTTTAACCTGTCTCCTCCCCTTCCGCTGCACTGATTGAAGTAGATTTAACAGGTGACATCAATAAGGGATCATAGCTTTCACCTGGATTCATCTGATCAGTCTATGTCATGGAAACAGCAGGTGTCCTTAATGTTTTGTACATTCAGTGTATAACGTGACGGCCTCTGGTCATTGGACACAGGTCAAACGTACAGTAGTGCCCAAATCCGTACATGATTCCCTCCTTAGTCATGGGGCAGATAGGAAGAGATTTCCCAGCAGTGAAGTTCTTTGTTATGCGCCTGAGTCAGAGAAAGCTTAATCTCACTATAGAGGCTAAACCACTCAATGGAACAGAGATGGAACAGACATTAGAAGCCACATGTGGTTAATTATTGTAAGCTGCAGCGTGCCAGCCCAACGGTGACAAACAGATGGTATGTGTAAACAGCCGTGCCGTCCACTAAACGTCCTAAGCTTTCTCCACATTTACCAAAGGGACTCTACTCTGCACCCTTCTCTCTGCTAGCACAGCAGTTTATTTTTATTGTAGGGTGATTGGGGGGTTTATCACTTTAAGAGCCTTGTAATTGCTTCCAGAGGATCCGAATAGTATCAAAGCCTTTGGTTTTAGATCATTTTTTATTAAATGTAAATATAGACCAGGTAGTTATTTTTAGTGTGCATTTTGCTCCTTGATCACTGATTAATGTGTATGTGTGTGTTTTCCATGTTGCAGGTTTTTGAAGGACAAAGTGTTGGAGTACCTGCTGGCCATATCCTCAACCACAGCAGCTCCGAGGTACAGTAAGCACTTTGTCCGGAAAACATTTTCCAACATGTTAACTCGTAATTTCTGTAACCAGTGGAAATATGTGAACACTTCATCTTTCACTAGCTAACCACATTGCAATATTCTATTCAACAACTTTAGGTTGTCATGGATACATTTGATACATCAATCTTTTTCCTCTTTGTTGAAGAAAGTCCCCTAATACTGCCCCTATGTTTGCCCTAGAACCAGGTGTTAGGGAGAAGTGCGTCCAAAATGGCACCCTATATTCTATATAGTGCACTTCTTTTGACCAGTGCCCATAGTGACCAGAGCCCTATGGGCCCTAGACAAAGGTATTGCACTATATAGGGAATAGGGTGCCATTTGGGACGTAGTCGAGGAGTATTGTAGTTTATTAATCTCAGCCTAATAGGGGATAGTGAGAGTGGGGGGATGTAGGAAGGGGGGGATGCAGGGGGAGTGGGGGGGTGCTTTCTATTCACACGGAGTCGGGGTTAGCACAGCTGTCACAACAGCATGCTGATATGTTGACACTGCTTCATGCAAACAGGCAGGCGTGAGGAGGGCAAAGAGCCTGATTTAATTTTTTGAACTTAAAACACCTATTTATAAAATACCTATTATCAGTTAAGAAACCTAAATGAACTCCTCCCTCTCAGAGATTGGACACTCTTGCCAAAATGCAGTTGATAGCACCACCTGAAGGCAGCCCTTGGTACAGCAGTTTGGAAACTCCCGTCTGTGTGAATATGCCCGACAGCCAAACCGTTACTCTGCACATCAAACCCGATTTCCTCGTATCAGACGTGCTGTCTTTGGCCTGTAAGGTAAGCATACTGCATCTATCACCTCATTATTAATACATTTCAACACTCTCCTAACTCCCACGTCAGCATTTTGCAGGTGAATTCTCCAGTGACTGATATGGATGTTCAAGGCAAAGAGGAAATGATAGGAGAGGATTGTACAGAACAGCTACTAGTTTAATTGCTCTGGATTTCTCAATAATTAATGCTTTCTCTCCATAGAAAGTTCATTCGCCATAGCATCCTTTTAGCTGATAGGGAACAGGAAGAGTGCTAGTGGTTGTGTCGCAGTGTAGCTAGCTACCATAGCTAAAGACGTTGAAGATTTCTGACACACTGAGGATACGTCCCAAATGGCACCCTATTCCCAATATAGTGCACTACTTTTGACTACAACCCCCCTATGGGCCCTGGTCAAAAGTAGGTCACTACATAGGGATTATGGAGCAATTTGGGCCACACCCTGACTCAACCTCTTGGGTCTTGTTCTAGGAAGGGCACCTGGACCCGAGCCAGCACTGCCTGCGTGTGAGGAGGCTGGTGGGTCTGGACACAGAGACCAGCTCCCCAGCACCCACAGACCCACTACGAGACCTGGTAAGGCCCCAAGCTATACAGTAGCAATGGGGAAACACAAGATCCAATCACTGATACAAGCATTCATCGATTTATTCAGTCACTCATTGTGTTATCTCTGAGTCAATACTGACTCAACTTGCTCTTTAGTAAGTACATTGATTATGTGTTGATGAGTTCTTCTTCACTCTTCTATGTGCTTCTTCTGAACAGGTGTATGAAGAGCTAGAGGTCTTCCCACTCAATGTTTTCACCATACAACTGTCCCGCCCAAACACAGCAGTGGACTTTGGTGAGTAGGGATCGTGTGGAGTGGGGATCGTGTGTGTGTGTTTGTTTGTGTCTGTGTCCGTGTGTGTGTTGGCAAAAAATAGCTAATTTACACTTCAGTTGTCTTATTACAGTATAATATAATGTGTTACTCTGTTTTAACCTCTGACCTATCCCACCTGTAGGCTTTGCTGTGACAGGCCATGTAGACGGAACCAGGAAAAGCCATGTCTATGTGAGTGAGGTCACCCCAGAGGAACTGGCTTTCACTGAAGGTACGTCAATTCATAGTTGTGGTGTGCTGGCGCTCTGACCAAGATAAAAAAAATTGTCTTAGGAATGTAAAACTGCAATAGTAAAGGTGGTTCAGGACGGCAGCTTAAATCAATTCAATATTTAACATGGAGAAATAAACTGACTGCAAGATGGCAAGATGGCGCCGACAGACATGGCAGCTCTGCTTCTAGCTCCTAAGCAACTTTGCAGTATTTTGTTTTTTTTGTGTGTTATTTCTTACATTATTAGCCCAGAATGTTTTTTGTGTTATTACATACAGCCGGAAATAACTTTTGGATATCAGAGTGGCGGTAACTCACCAGCATTACGAACATTAAAACGACTTTCCCGAATTGGATCCTTTGTTCGTACCCCCCAGGGCAATTGAACTTATCCAAGAGGCTGCTCCAAGACGCCGCCGGCGGAGAAGAGGTATTCGGAGTGGACTTCTAGTCCGACTCAGGAGGCGTGCACACCATCCAGCACTTCCGAGTATATTACTCGCTAATGTTCAGTCTCTGGACAATAAAGTAGACGAGCTCAGGGCTAGGATCTCCTTCCAGAGAGACATCAGGGACTGTAACATACTCTGTTTCACGGAATCATGGCTCTCTCTAGATATACTGTCCCCGTCCATACAGCCAGCTGGGTTCTCAGTACATCACGCAGACAGGAATAAAGAGGATAAAGAAGAAAGGTGGGGGGATGTGTTTCATGATTAACTACTCATGGTGTGATTGTGATAACGTACAGAAACTCAAGTCCTTTCGTTCACCCGACCTAGAATACCTCACAATCAAATGCCGACTGTATTATCTCCCAAGAGAATTCTCTTTGGTTATAGTCACAGCCGTGTATATTCCCCCTCAAGACGGCCCTCAAGGAACTACACTGGACTTTGTGCAAACTGGAAACCACATATCCTGCGGCCGCATTTATTGTAGCTGGGGATTTTAACAAAGCAAATTTGAGGAAAACGCTACTGAAGTTCTATCAACACATTGACTGTAGTACTCTCTCTGCTAAAATGCTCTACCATTGTTATTCCCCCTTCCGGGATGCCTACAAGGCCCTCCCCCGACTTCCCTTTGGCAAATCAGATAACGACTCCATTTTACTCCTCCCTTCCTATAGGCAGAAACTCAAACAGGAAGTACCCGTGCTAAAATCTATTCAACACTGGTCTGACCAATCGGAATCAATGCTTCAAGATTGTTTTGATCACGCGGACTGGGATATGTTCCGGGTAGCCTCTGAGAATAACATTGACGTATACACGGACACGGTGACTGAGTTCATCAGGAAGTGTATAGGGGATGTTGTTCCCACTGTGACTATTAAAACCTACCCAAACCAGAAACCGTGGATAGATGGCAGCATTTACGCAAAACTGAAAGCGCGAACCACCGCAAGGTCACTGGGAATATGGTCAAATACAAACAGTGTAGTTATTCCCTCTGTAAGGTAATCAAACAGGCAAAACGTGGCCTCCCGAGTGGCGCAACGTTCTAAGGCACTGCATTGCTGTGCTAGAGGCGTCACTACAGATCCGGGTTTGATCCCGGACTGTGTCGCAGCCGGCTGCGACTGGGAGACACATTTGGCCCAGCGTCGTCCGGGTTAGGGGAGGGTTTGGCTGGCCGGGATGTCCTTGTCCCATCACGCTCTAGCGACTCCTGTGGCGGGCCGGGCGCATGCACGCTGACTTCGGTCGCCAGCTGTACAGTGTTTCCTCCGACACATTGGTGCGGCTGGCTTCCGGGTTAAGCAAGCAGTGTGTCAAAAAGCAGTGCGGCTTGGCAGGGCCATGTTTCGGAGGACGCATGGCTCTCGACCTTCGTCTCTGCCGAGTCCGTACAGGAGTTGCAGCGATGGGACAAGACTGTAACTTACAATTGGATATCATGAAATTGGGGAGAAAATAATAATAATAATAATAAAAGGCAAAACGTCAGTACAGAGACGAAGTGGAATCGCAATTCAACGGCTCAGACATGAGACGTATGTGGCAGGGTCTACAGACAATCGCGGATTACAAAGGGAAAACCAGCCACGTCGCGGACACTGACGTCTTGCTCCCAGACAAGCTAAACACCTTCTTCGCCCATTTTGAGGATAACACAGTGCCACAGACGCTGCCCGTTCCCAAGGACTGTGGGCTCTCAAAAAAACGAAGGATCTGATCGTGGACTTCAGGAAACAGCAGAGGGAGCACGCCCCTATCCACATCGACGGGACTGCAGTGGAGAAGTTGAAAAGCTTCAAGTTCCTCGGTGTACACATCACTGACAATCTGACATGGTCCACCCACACACACAGTGTGGTGAAGAAGGCGCAACAGCTGAAGGAATTCGGCTTGGTCCCTAAGACCCTCATAAACTTTTACAGATGCACAATTGAGAGCATCCTGTCGGGCTGTATCACCGCCTGGTACGGCAACTGCACTGCCCGCAACCGCAGGGCTCTCCAGAGGGTGGTGCGGTGTGCTCAACGCATCACTGGGGGCACACTGCCTTCCCTCCAGGACACCTACAGCACCCGATGTCACAGGAAGGCCAAAAAGATAATCAAGAACATCAACCACCCGAGCCACGGCCTGTTCACCCCGCTACCATCCTGAAGGCGAGGTCAATACAGGTGCATCAAAGATGTGACCGAGAGACTGAAAAACAGCTTCTATCTCAAGGCCATCAGATTGTTAAATAGCCATCACTAACCGGCTACCACCTGGTTACTCAACCCTGCATCTTAAAGGCTGCTGCCCTATATACATAGACATGGAATCACTAGTCACTTTAATAATGTTTACATACTGCTTTACTCATTTCATATGTGTATATACTGTATTCTATTCTAATGTATTTTGGTCAATGCCACTCCGACATTGCTCGTCCTAATATTGATATATTTCTTAATTCCATTCTTTTACTTTTAGATTTGTGTGTATTGTCGTGAATTGTTAGAATCTATCTGATACTACTGCCCTGTTGGAGCTAGGAACACAAGCATTTCGCTACACCAGCAATATAATCTGCTAAATATGTATATGTGACCAATAAAATTTGATTCGATTTTGACTTTATATCAGGAATAGAACACACAGTACTGGTGATGTATTTTACTGAAGTAAATCTAGTGGCAAACACTAACAGCCTGATTAGTAATGTATCCTGTCTTTCCCTCAGGTCTGAGAGAGGGGGATGAGATCCTGTTTCTGAATGGGACCAGTGTGTCCTCCCTGGACCTGGGTCTGATGCACCTGTTGTTCAGCCACCAGACCCTCCATCTGTTGCTTAGACGAGAGGACACGACCCCTGAGGACCATACCTCTGTCTGGCCAGACTGTGACCCCTGGCAGCCAGCACCACCGCCACCCAGCCACTATGAGCCCTGGCAGCCAGCACCACTGCCACCCAGCCACTGTGGCCCATGTCTTACAGGTAAATATAGCACATTCCTCATCTTCATACAGATACTATTATTGACATTGGGGTACTTCTTAACCTATTTGGTTTACTGGAGGGCATTAATTGTCTTCTACCGGTAGGTTTTATTTTTTCAGCACTAGAGGGCCTCAGGCCAAAGTATCTTTGATAAGCCAGTGTTTCTGTTGAGGGGAATTTCATGCTTCCCAGCCAATTCCACAGGGTGTTTAGGCCTGGCTGGAGACATTCAAATGTCAATTAAGAGGATGTGAAGACAGCTGGCATGTCTCACTGGTCTGGGCAGCGCAGCACGGTCACTCAATGATGGAGCTAGCTAGGATCATCATTGTCTTCATTACATCATGCAATAGTATGTGATTAGATCACTGATTACTGGCATGAGCATAGACCATCATTAAATCACTGACAAACAAAGTTTATATACCAACAGATACTGAATCCACACTGAGTATGGCCAACATTAGGAACACCTTCCTAATATTCAGTTGCACCCCCTTTTGCCCTCAGAACAGCCTCAATACATCAGTGCATGGACTCTACAAGTTGACGAAAGCGATCCACATGTTGACTCCAATGCATCCCACAGTTGTGTCAAGTTGGCTGGATGTTCTTTGGGTGGTGGACCATTCTTGATGAACACGGGAAACTGTTGAGCGTGAAAAACCTAGCGGCGTTGCAGTTCTTGACACATACACAATCCATGTTTCAATTGCCTCAAGGCTTAAAAATCCTTCTTTAACCTGTCTCCTCCCCTTCATCTACTCTGATTGAAGTGGATGTAACAAATGACATCAATAAGGGATCATAGCTTTCACCTGGATTCACCTGGTCAGTCTATGTCATGGATAGAGCAGGTGTTCTTAATGTTTTGTACACTCAGTGTATATTGATAGTCTCTACTCTGTCTAAAACAGAGGACAGAAACACTTTTATTCCTGTTGGTGTGATGCCAAGTAAGCTGTATAAGCCCCTTGCGAGAGGAGGAGTGAGTCCAAATGAATTGCTCCTGCCTGCTGCCTGCTGGGCTTTTATTGAAGCCAGATCAATGGTGGTTGACACCAGTCAGGTGGACTTAACCTCCCCGCCAGTACAGAACATCCACCATCCATCCCACAGACTGCTGTAAAACTGTCTCCAATGCTTTAAACCAGGAATTCCCTCTCAGCACCTGTGTGTGTGTGTGTGTGTGTGTGTTTGTGCACACACTTTCTTTGGCCCATCTTTAATCATACTGTCCTGTCTGCTTCTCTCTCAGATATGCCACTGCCCCAGGAGCTTCCAGACAACTCTGTAACGTCTCCCTTTGATGAACTGTCACAACAACTACAACCCGCTGATGAGACGGAGCAGCTCGGCCAGGTGAGATGGAGTGTGTATGTGTGTCAGGGGAGGGTTAAGAGCAGCGAGTGATGTGTTTGATGGCGTGTCCTGTGTTGGTGATCAGGGATTACTCTGTGGTGATCAGGACACCTGCTAAAATGAGATGAGGTACCAGGAGAGTACTGGCTCAGGTTCGGCAAACTCCAGGGATCAATGGCTACCAGCGGAGGCCAGAACGCCTGGCCTGGCATGTAGCATGTTGTTTCTATTCAGCTCCACCAACAGGGCTATGTGCTGGGTGCTGCCCCAGGAGGATGAGTGCGAGGTGGGGGAGGTGGGGGTGGGGGACTTCATCCCTGGGACTTTCACCCTGCCGTCTCTCAGGCAGTCCATGAAGGACAGGCTGGCCGGGCTGCCGAATGAGGTGACCTCCTGCGTGGCCCACGAGCAGGCAGCCGACAGGATCGCTCTGCTGGGAGTACTGTAGTGCCTCTCTGTATTGTAGCTACTGTACTGCAGGGTTGAAGTCCATTCAAATTGATGTCACTCAACCCAGGAAGTGATTTTGAATTTTTTTTAATTAAATGTAAAAACGTTTGAAATAATTAGCTTCGCCTTTTCAGTTTATTGAGAAATCATTGAAAACGGATGCGATTATTGAATTGGAATTTGAGTTTATTTCCTGAATTGACTGACCTCAATTCGAATTGACCTGCTGTATTGTACTGCACTGATGATGCATTGGTGCTGTAGCTAGTGTAGTGTTCTGATGTTATTGCCTGGGAAGGAGAGTTTTTACTCTTGAGGTCTTACTGTAGGTAACATAGGATACACGCTCCCGAGAGACACACAGAGAACAAATGTTACAGGAAAAAATAAGCCCATAAATGTTCATGCTTATTTTCACCTTTGTCCACGTTTGCTTCTATTTCAGAGGGTATTTTAAAGCTGGATTGCAGCAATAGCCTTAACCAGAGGGATTTATCAGTTTGTCAGCACTTTATTAGAATTATGAGGACAAATGGGCAGAGCTCTGGCTGGGGATCCTTCCTGTTATATCTGCTACTGGGGGTTTCCTGATGTGTGTGTGTTCACCGCTGATTGTGCTGCCTTTCTTTGGCAAAATCTACTGAAGATCTTTGTCACGACTTCCTCCGAAGCTGCCTCCTCTCCTGGTTCGGGCAGGCTTCGGCGTTCATAGTCACCGGCCTTCTAGCCACTGCCGCTCCTCATCTCATCATTCCATTTGTTTTGTCTTGTTTATTACACACACCTGGTTCATATCCCCTCATTAGGACTTGTATAAGTGTTCCCTCTGCCCCCTTGTCCTTGTGTGTGATTGTTTATTGTGAGGAGAGTGTAGCTCGGTTGAGCTCCGTGTATTTTGTACTGCCGGGGTATTACTGTTTGACGCATTTCTGCGTAACTCTGTATTCCGGAATAAATTATGTATTCTGTGATTTACCCTCCTGCGCCTGACTCCTTCAAATCACCCATCACAGACATGCTTGTTCAGTGACTAGACTCCCGGTCAGGGGCGGTGTGTTCATTAGGGCGATATGGGCGACGCACTGCCAAACGGGAAAAGGAAGGTTTTTTTTTCTAATCAATTATATCACGGCAACAGTAGTTATCAGTGTTCTAATCTAGACGTCTGATCTGCCACTAAATGTCCAATCAGGCTAAAGTCGTGCTTCAAATGTCCCCGCCCGTTTTGGGGCGATTTCAGTCAGGTTGAAAATCGCCCAGAAGTCTCTCATAGCCTCTAATGTAAAATCAATTTTTTTCAAATATCAGAGCTTTCAATACAATCTCTATGGGTTTCTGAGGGCTTGCACTTACGCGCTTTCGTCATACGTAACATAACCATGAACGTAACTAAGAAAAGAGCGGGTAGCCTCATCAATCAATTCACTACTACTGTCAAAATGGCTAGCCTTCAGTGCAACTCGATTGTCTCTTTGAAAGAAGTTCCTTTTTGTCGGCGAACAAATCAAGATAAATTGGCAACGAAACAATTAGGACCTCCCAGACCAAATTTAATAATTCAACAGGTTTCTACTAAGCAGAGTCGTGAACACTGTCTACGAGAATCGAGACGACCTCATAGAATGTTTTGAAGCCATTCGGACGGGTTCATTGGGTTCATTTGACCAGTCCACCGTGAGAGAGGCATCTGGCTACGTGAGGATGCTACATGATGAAGATTTTATTTTTTTCCTGCGGCTTTTTCACAAAATCATGCCCCACGTCGACATTCTGTACCAGAAGCTACAGAAGAAGGACATCGATGCTGTCTTTATCAAACGTGCCCTCGACAGCTTCACAAGCAGTGTGCAGGCCATAAGGTAAGATTAAACAATATCATTCGATCTTTCTCAAAGCAGAGCTTTATTTGAAAATGTATGCATGAAAGGAGACTGCATTTGTGTTTGAAATTACATTATTCTCATTATATATGGCCAGTGGTGTAATCTAGCTTATTTTATATACTATGTGTACTGTACAGTGGTGCTCATAAGTGTATGAACACATTCTAAAGTTGACTAAAAAGAGGAATAAAAAAATAAAAAAATCATCTTTTGGAAATTGATCTTAATGACTTAATTAAAAAAGTTGGAAAATCCAACCTTTAAGGACACCAATTTTCTTTTCTTTTTTATTCCTCTTTTTAGTCAACTTTAGCATGGGATCATAAGCTTATGAGCACCACTGTATACTGTGCTGAACATCCAGGCTATGTGAGACACAAAGGCTAACTTAAACACTAAAGACTTTATGCATCCCTGCCCATTTTAAGTGGAACTGAAGTATTTGTACTATACATGGATACATTGCATATACCTGTGCATCACATAGACAACAGTACTGTACAAAGCCAACAAACACATTGGTCTGTTTGCCTTCAGGGACTCCTCTCAACAGCAGCTGCAAGAAGCAACAGGAGCCAAAAGACCCAGAACAGCTTTGAGAGAAGAGGAGAAGCAGAGGCTGTCTGAAGAGGTCTGCAACACCATCCTGGATCACACCAAAGAAAGGTTCTCTTTCTCTGGCCACCTTGTGAGTGCTACCTTACTGCAAGCAGACATGTTTGAAAGGTACTGCCATTCATTTCCTGATGAGGCTCTGAATGCCACTGTGAATGCATACCCCATGCTGAGCAAGGCAAAGCTCAAGACAGAACTATCTCTGATCTATGAGAATCCTGAATTCAAGGGATGCTGTGGTGCACTGGCACTGTACCAGGTTCTCATGAGCTACAACCTCCAGGAGACGTTCTGTGAGACTGTGACTCTGTTGAACATCCTCATAACTACTCCCATGACAACAGCTGAAGCTGAGAGATGTTTCTCAACTTTGACACGAGTTAAGACATTCCTGCGAAATTCAATGGGCCAGGAACATCTGAATGCACTGGCCATGCTTTCCATGGAGAGGGAACTAGTCCTCAGCATGCCTGATTTCAATGAGAAAGTCATTGAACGCTTTGCTGTATTGAAACAGAGAAGAGAACAGTTTCAGTACAAGTAATGTAGCCTCTCTCTCTCTTTGTCCCTCCCTGTCTGTCTCTTTAACACACACACGCCCAAATCAGTTCACAGTTGATGTTGTTTAAAATAGTTATTTTTCATTTAAAAAAAAGTTTTTAAAAAAATAATCTGTTCATGTTCATTTTTACAAATCTATACAATTGGCCAGAATATGGTTGTTCATATTTACAAATCTATACAATTGGCCAGAATATGGTTGTTCGTTTTTACAAAGCCATACAGATAGCTGTGTTTACCTTTTCTATAAATTACTTTCAAATTCTGTTTTCAGGCAAAATGTCTATCACTGTTCATTTTCACAAATCTATACAAGAGGGCAGAATATGGAAGTCTATAAAAATGTCTTATTACCAATAACTTGCATCAATGTTTTCAGTAGCCTCTATCAAAAGCTCCTGCTTGCTTGTTGTGAATTATGCTCAGGTGCACATATTTCCAATTCAACCATGAGGCAAAAAATGTGGTAAAAGCTCTTGTTGATCCTGCAATCTGAACAAATACCAAGATGCTGTATTTTCAGCTGATATTTCATTTGTTTATGGAAATGCATATTGTTTATGCAGTGTTGAGGAATGTGAAAGAACACCCTTGATTATTTTTACTGTGATAACTTATTTTGATTTTGTAAGCCAACACTTTTGAGATCAGTCAATAAATGCTTCTGGTATTGACTTATATGCTGCCCCTGTCTTCATGTTGTTGCTGGACATATCTTTTTAAAAATGTGTGTAGGTCACCTAAATCATCAGAAAAATTGCCCCCCCCTGAGAATTTTTTCAGGAGCCGCCACTGCTCCCGGTTATGTATCAGATATCAAATTAAATTTTATTTGCCACATGCGCCGAATACAACAGGTGTAGACATTACAGGGAAATGCTTACTTACAAGCCCTTAACCAACAATGCAAAGTAAAACAAATAAAAAAAGTGTTAAGCAAAAAAAATGTAAGCAAATAACTAAAGAGCAGCAGTAAAATAAAATAACAGTAGGGAGGCTATATACGGGGGTACCGGTGCAGAGTCAATGTGCGGGGGCACAGGCTAGTCGAGGTAACTGAGATAATATGTACATGTGGGTAGAGTTAAAGTGACTATGCATAAATAATAAACAGAGTAGCAGCAGAGTAAAAAAGGGGGACGGGGTGGGGGTGGGGGGGGGGGCAGTGCAAATTGTCCGGGTAGCCATGATTAGCTGTTCAGGAGTCTTATGGCTTGGGGGTAGAAGCTGTTGAGAAGCCTTTTGGACCTAGACTTGGCGCTCCGGTACCGCTTGCCGTGCGGTAGCAGAGAGAACAGTCTATGACTAGGGTGGCTGAAGTCTTTGACAATTTTGAGGGCCTTCCTCTGACACCGCCTGGTATAGAGGTCCTGGATGGCAGGAAGCTTGGCCCCAGTGATGTACTGGGCCGTACGCACTACCCTCTGTAGTGCCTTGCGGTCGGAGGCCGAGCAGTTGCCATACCAGGTGGTGATGCAACCAGTCAGGATGCTCTCGATGGTGCAGCTGTATAACTTTTTGAGGATCTGAGGACCCATGCCAAATGTTTTCAGTCTCCTGAGGGAGAATAGGGTTGTCGTGCCCTCTTCACGACTGTCTTGGTGTGTTTGGACCATGATAGTTCATTGGTGATGTGGACACCAAGGAACTTGAAGCTCTCAACCTGTTCCACTACAGCCCCGTCGATGAGAATGGGGGCGTGCTCAGTCCTCTTTCTTTTCCCTGTAGTCCACAATCATTTCCTTTGTCTTGATCACGTTGAGGGAGAGGTTGTTATCCTGGCACCACACGGCCAGGTCTCTGACCTCCTCCCTATAGGCTGTCTCATCGTTGTCGGTGATCAGGCCTAATGAAGGTGTTGGAGTCGTGCCTGGCCATGCAGTCATGGGTGAACAGTGAGTACAGGAGGGGACTGAGCACGCACCCCTGAGGGGCCCCCGTGTTGAGGATCAGCATGGCAGATGTGTTGTTACCTACCCTATCATGCTGTTAGTTGCTCTGTCTCATGTCTTATGAAAAACGTTTGACAAAATAAGTATTTTCTAATTTAATCTAATTTATTAATTTAGGTTGAATCATTATGATAATAACACAAATATTTAAAACTCCTAGATTATGTTTGCATCCCAAATTACACCCTGTTCCCAATAGAGTACAATCCTTTTGACCAGAGCTCTATGGGCCCTGGTCAACAGTAGTGCACTATATAGGGAATAGGGTGCCATTTGGAATGTAACCATGATGTGTCAGGCTTTGGCCCATGCCCAGTGACTCCTATAGCAGTGTTTACCCACAGTGTCCAAATCTCTCTGATCCTGTATTCCCCATTACCATGATACAGCAGCCTGGCTTAAACCTATGGGCTCTGGTCAAAAGTAGTGCACTATATAGGGAATAGGGTGTCATTTAGGATGCAGACCTGGCTCTCTTCACTTTCTGCCTCTCCAAATCCAGAGGTTTGACAGACATGCTCTCGGAACTACAGAAGGGGTCGATGATTTAAACTGACATTATGATTAGGTGCTTGTCAAAGTAGATTCAGGGCTGAGTAAAAGGGCAGTCATTTGATATTCAGAGCTGAAATTAGAATCTCTCCTAACTCGTCTTCTGTTTCCTCAGAATGTTGAGACGGTGTGCTTGCTGTACCAGACCTTCCCAGAGGGCCGTTGGGCAGCGGGGGCAGTGGTGGTGGGGGGCCAGAGGAACCCCTACTCCATGGAGCCCCCCGGTCCCCAGACCCAGAAGCCCCCCTGCCCCAGACACATGTCCATCTCTGAGAGGCTCTGTAAGGTCATACAGGAACTGGTGGACACAGAGAAGTCCTACGTCAAGGTATACACCTGGCCCATATTTCACCAAGTGTCTCAGAGTAGGAGTGCTGATCTAGGATCAGTTTTGCCTTTTATATTGTAATGAATAGACAGAGGGGATCTGATCCTAGATCAGCACTCTTGCTCTGAGACACATTATGAACACACATTATGAACACACATTCAAGCCCTATCTAAGAGAGTGCTTGAACATCCTCTGTGGGGATTTATAATTGATGGTCTCGCTTTATTAATGATCTGCCTGTTAGTGAATGGTTTCTAAGTGCCTGTTTGTTAATGATCTTTAGTAGCATTTAGTGTAATGTATATTTATTTGCCATCTGTTTCTGTAACACCCATGTGTCAGGCTGAGAAGAATGATGATGTCACAGACTGATAGTGATTATGTTTCAGTCTGATAGTGATGTTGTCACAGTCTGATAGTGACGATGTCACAGTCTGATAGTGATGCTGTCACAGTCTGATCGTGATGATTTCCCAATCTGATAGTGAGGATGTTACAGTCTGATAGTGATGATGTCACAGTCTGATAGTGATGATGTCTCAGTCTGATAGTGATGACGTCACAATAGTGATGATGTCACAGTCTGATAGTGATGACGTTATAGTCTGATAGTGATGATGTTATATTCTGATAGTGATGATGTTATTGTCGGGTAGTGGTGATACCACAGTCTAATGAAGTTCCTTCTCCGTCTCTGTCCCTCAGGACCTGTGCTGTCTGTTTGACATCTACCTGACGCCTCTACAGAGTGAGACCTTCCTCAGCCACCATGAGGTACAGGGGGGGGGGGGGGGGGGGGGGCATAAAAAATATATAGCCTACATGTAACATGTCTAAAGGTAGGCTATACACATGTAAAATACAATAACATTACAGTATGTGCTTATTTAATTGTAACTTGTTAGTAAACTGTATGTTAGTGTGACAACCGGGGTTCGAACCCGGGTGTTAGCGAGCTAACGCTAGTCTTCAGATCTCAGACAAGGCTATCCATCGCATGAGCGTGGTTCCCAACCAACTCCGTTACATTAGCTGTAAATCTCTTTGTCTTCTATTCTGTACTTTTTTTGGCATTTCAGTTTGCTATGTAGTGTATGTACAGTAGCTAAATGGTGCCAATAAAGGCTTTCTAATGATCAATAATCTTCTGTCCTCTGGTTAGTTTCTAACTGTTGTCATCTCCTCCCTCCACTAGATGGAGTCTCTGTTTGGCAGTCTGCCTGAGATGCTGGACTTCCAGAGAGTGTTCCTACACACCCTGGAGGAGCGCATCGCCTCCTCCCCCAACTTCAGCTCCCTGGAGTCCCCCGAACAGTTCAAGGTACAGTATATCCACAACAAGTCTGGAGAGATGTGTGAAATGGCACCCTATTCCAATAGGGTTCAGGTCAAAAGTAGTGCACTATGTAGGGAATAGTGTGCCATTTGGGACGTAACTTGGAGGTCTAGTGAGAAAGCGTCACACTTCATTAACAGGATGTTAGCCTACTGACTGCAGTGTTAGTCAGCGGTAGAACTGTTTGATGTTTACAGGAAGTGACTGTGCATTCTCTCTTCTTTCTCTTTCTGCATCCAGAAACTTCTTCTCTCGCTGGGGGGCTCCTTCCTCTACTATGCCGACCACTTCAAGCTCTACAGCGGCTTCTGTGCCAACCACATCAAAGTCCAAAAGGTTCTGGAACGAGGTAAGGGTGATAGCTACGCTACCTCATGTACAGTTGATCTGAACATCCCACTTACAGTACCCGGTTAAACCATAGGCTGGTGAAAATTCTAAGGATCAAAAGTCTGCTTTCTCATGTACACTAGACCAGAATATCCCGCCTACTCAGTTCATCATAAAATGCCACCTGCAAGTGCAAAGGCAGGGAATCAATGCCTGCATCAATGCCTGCTTTTGAGATTCATCCACACACTTAGCCTAAATCCTAATTTTCGGTTTATAGCGAAGACGGACCGGGCCTTCAAGCAGTTCCTGGAGGCGAGAAACCCCACCAAGCAGCACTCGTCCACCCTGGAGTCCTACCTCATTAAGCCAGTCCAGAGGGTGCTCAAGTACCCCCTGCTGCTCAGAGAACTGGTCTCCCTGACCGACTCAGAGAGCGAGGAGCATAGCCACCTCACAGGTATGACTACATATGACAGGGCTTATGTACAGTATGAGCATGCATAGACTCACACAGGGACGTATACACACACACACACACACACACACACACACACACACAGAAACCATAAGACACACACACACACACACACACACACACACACACACACACACACAGAGAAACCATAAGACACACACACACACACAGAGAGAAACCATAAGAAACACACACACACACACAGAAACCATAAGACACACACACACACACAGAAACCATAAGACCATTGCCAGGTCTATGTGCTAGGCTTGAGCTCTATTAACGTGTGCTGTAACACTTCTCTGTCTGTCTGTGTCTCCGTCCATCAGAGGCCCTGAGAGCCATGGAGAAGGTGGCCAGTCACATCAATGAGATGCAGAAGATCTACGAGGACTACGGCACTGTGTTTGACCAGCTGGTGGCAGAGCAGATTGGCCCTGAGAAAGAGGTAGAGCATAGCCACCACACATAATATTGATATGAGTGATATTACAAAATATATTGGTCCTGTGTGGCTCAGTTGGTAGAGCATGGTGCTTGCAACGCCTGGATTGTGGGTTTGATTACCGCTGTGGCCACCATATGAAAATGTATGGAATCATGCGATTGTAAGTTGCTTGTAAGTCATGTTGGATAAAAGCAAAGCAGTCTGCTAAATGACATACACTATATATACAAAGGTATGTGGACACCCCTTCAAATTAGTGGATTCGGCTATTTCAGCCACACCCGTTGCTGACATGTGTATAAAATCGAGCACACAGCCATGCAATCTCCATAGACAAACATTGGCAGTAGAATGGCCTTACTGAAGAGATCAGTGACTTTCAACGTGGCACCATCATAGGATGCCACCTTTCCAACAAGTCAGTTCGTAACATTTCTGCCCTGCTAGAGCTGCCCAGGTCAACTGTATGTGCTGTTATTGTGAAACGTCTCGGAGCAACAACGGCTCAGCCGCGAAGTGGTAGGCCACACAAGCTCACAGAACGGGACCGCCAAGTGCTGAAGCAAGTAGCGCGTAAAAGTTGTCTGTTCTCAGTTGCAACACTCACTACTGATTTCCAAACTGCCTCTGGAAGCAACGTCAGCACAATAACTGTTTGTCGGGAGCTTCATGAAATGGGTTTCCATGGCCGAGCAGCTGCTCACAAGCCTAACATCAGTGCAAAGTGTCGGCTGCAGTGGTGTAAAGCTCGCCGCCATTGGACTCTGGAGCAGTGGAAATGCATTCTCTGGAGTGATGAATCACGCTTCCCCATCTGGCAGTCCGACGGAGTTTGGCGGATGCCAGGAGAACGCTACCTGCCCGAGTGCATAGTGCCAACTGTAAAGTTTGGTGGAGGAGGAATAATGGTCTGAGGCTGTTTTCATGGGGGCTAGGCCCCTTAGTTCCAGTGAAGGGAAATCTTAACGCTACAGCATACAATGACATTCTATGCTTCCAACTTTGTGGCAACAGTTTGGGGAAGGTCCTTTCCTGTTTCAGCATGACAATGCCCCCGTGCACAAAGCGAGGTCCATACAGAACTTGACTGGCCTGCACAGAGCCCTGACCTCAACCCCATCGAACACCTTTGGGATGAATTGTAACACTGACTGCGAGCCAGGCCTAATCACCCAACATCAGTGCACAACCTCACTAACGCTCCTGTGGCTGAATGGAAGCATGTCCCCGCAGTAATGTTCCAACATCTAGTGGAAAGCCTTCCCAGAAGAGTGGAAGCTGTTATAGCAGCAAAGGGGTTACCAACTCCATATTAATACCCATGATTTTGGAATGACATGTTCGACGAGCAGGTGTCCACATACTTTTGGTCATATAGTGTAGATACATTATAGTATTTTTATACAATTACATGAATCACAGTGAGACCTTTAACCACCAACCTCCCAGACTAAGTGTCCTCCTCTTTTCTCCCCAGAGGACAGAGATCTCCATGGGAGAGTTCCTCATCCACTCCTCTTTAAAGTGGCTCAACCCTCTCCCCTCCCTGGGTCGCATGAGGAAACATCCTGAGCTAACGCTGTTTGGTGAGTGGGGCTTTTTACAATGACGAGTTGGACCATAATTACTGACTGGCTGATATGGTGTGCGTGTTTATTACAGCAATCAAGAAATATCTGATTTAGCATTGAGTTGCTCCTGCCTCTGTCCTCAGTTTTCAAGAGAGCGGTGATCCTGGTGTACCGTGAGCGAAGAAAGATGAGGAAGAGGATGGTGAGTCTCACTCTCATCAAACACATCTGATAAACTGTACTGATGACTTCATGCTATATACATTTGATATGACTTTATTGGAGTTCTAATGTGTTTATATGCTACAGACCACGTCACGCTCAGGGGACCTGGAGGCCTTCAAGTTCCGCTGGCTCGTCCCGGTGTCGGCGGTGCAGGTCCGCCCGGGGAACGCAGCAGGAACGGAGAGCCCATGTATCTGGGAGCTGGTCCATACCAAGTCTCAGTTAGAGGGGAGACCAGAGACCGTGTTCCAGCTCTGCAGCAGGTGACAGATTACATTGAAAATGACAGAGATAATGGATGTTTTATCTGTTGTGAAAAAGCCAGAAGAACAAAATATATACATTTGAATTAACATGGCAGTGCCTAATTGACTTGATCTCATATGGGTCTATATGTGTCTTTTCCAGTGGTTTGGAGAATAAGGCAAGCGTAGTGAAAGCTCTTCGCTCCCTTCGAGACTGGACCTCTAGGCCCCTCCTATCAGAGAGAGGTTCTAGGGAGTACCAAGGCTCCCTCCGTAGGACCCAGCCTGCACCGGTCAGAGCCGGCTCCTGGAGAAGACAACAAGAACTGCAGGCCATGAGGACTGCAGGCCACCAACACCATTCTGATGACAGCAGCGTGTCCAGCGGAGCCCCCCAACTCTGCCCGGGAGACACCCACTCGGAGCCACAGCTCCCCAGCCACTCCACCATGGGCCTCTCCAGCCTGGAGGGTACCATGCTGGGCAAGAGGGCCCGGCTGTGCTCCCTGACCAGCGCCCTGGAGGCCCAGCTCCAGAGACTCAACTTCACAGAAGAGGCCGGGCCGAGGAGTGCTGTGTCCCAGCAGGAGCACCTCAGACAGGGGGTCCCCCGGCCCCACCTGCCCCATCCTGCTGCCCAGAGGAGGGCTAGCAGTCTGCAGGGTCCAGGAGGGCAGGATAATGACCCCCAGTGTGTGGACCTTAACGCCCTACTGGGGAAGGACTTCAGTGTGCAGAGCCTGACCTCTGTGGTCAATGAGAACTGCTTCTATGACACGGTTATGGGGATCCAGAAGGCTGCCATTACAACACTATAGAGGCCCTAGAAGTTGCCCCTAGATGCTGATCTTGGATCAGTTTTCCCCACTAATGGTTAACGTTAGGATTGGGGGACAGGAAGCTGATCCTAGATCTGTACCAAGGCAAACTTCACCCTGGAGAGCTGATGAACACTATAGAAGGTATACTCCTGTACCTGTCTTGACTCTCATCACACTGACTACATTAGCACCTGGTCAAGGTGCTATGGACTAGAAGATGAATCTCCTTAATGTGTTTACTCTGACCGGTGAGTAGGCTACGACTGAAGAACGGTGCTCTGATCACAGTTACTTGACTTGACTTTGACTTAATCCTTTTAGCTCCTAGTGGAGCAAAGGCCTCAAGATCACACAGTGACAGTAAATACGTATGTACAGTGCATTCGGAAAGTATTCAGACCCAGGTCTTCAGGGAAACCTGTTTCAGTCTTCCAGAGATTTGAGACTGGGACGGAGGGTCACCTTCCAGCAGGACAATGACCCTAAGCATACTGTAAAGCAACACTCGAGTGGTTTAAGGGGAAACATTTAAATGTCTTGGAATGGCCTAGTCAAAGCCCAGACCTCAATCCAATTGAGAATCTGTGGTATGACTTAAAGATTGCTGTACACCAGCGGAACCCATCCAACTTGAAGGAGCTGGAGCAGTTTTGCCTTGAAGAATGGGCAAAAATCCCAGTGGCTGGATGTGCCAAGCTTATAGAGACATACCCCAAGAGACTTGCAGCTGTAATTGCTGCAAAAGGTGGCTCTACAAAGTATTTACTTTGGGGGGTGAATAGTTATGCACGCTCAAGTTCTGTTTTTTTGTCTTAAGTGTTTGTTTGACAATAAAACATATTTTGCATCTTCAAAGTGGTAGGCATGTTGTGTAAATCAAATTATACAAACCCCCGAAAAATCCATTTTAATTCCAGGTTGTAAGGCAACAAAATAGGAAAAATGCCAAGGAGGGTGAATACTTTCACAAGCCACTGTATTTACATATGTATTCAGACCCTTTACTCAATACTTTGTAATCGCTGCCAAGGTGCTGCAACAGTCTTGAGTCTTCATGAGTATGAAGCTACAAGCTTGGCACACCTGTATTTGGGGAGCTTCTCCCATTCTTCTCTGCAGATCCTCTCAAGCTCTGTCAGGTTGGATGGGGAGCGTCGCTGCACAGCTATTTTCAGGTCTCTCCAGAGATGTTCGATCGGGTTCAAGTCCGGGCTCTGGCTGGGCCACTCAAGGACATTCAGAGACTTGTCCCGAAGCCAATCCTGTGTTGTCTTGGTTGTGTGCTTAGGGTCGTTGTCCTGTTGGAAGGTGAACCTTCACCCCAGTCTGAGGTTCTGAGTGCTCTGGAGCAGGTTTTCATCAAGGATCTCTGTACTTTGCCTCGTTCATCTTTCCCTCGATTCTGACTAGGCCAAAGAGTTCTGTTTGGCCATGTGGCCAGCTCTAGGAAAAGTCTTGGTGGTTCCAAACTTCTTTCATTTAAGAATGATGGAGGCTAACGTGTTCTTGGGGACCTTCAATGCTGCAGAAATGTTTTGGTACCCTTCCCTAGATCTGTGCCTCGACACAATCCTGTCTCGGAGCTCTATGGACAATTCCTTCGACCTCATGGCTTGGTTTTTGCTCTGACATGCACTGTCAACTGTGGGACCTTATATAGACAGGTGTGTGCCTTTCCAAATTATGTCCAATCAATTGAATTTACCACAGGTGAACTCCAATCAAGTTGTAGAAACATCTCAAGGATGATCAATGGAAACAGGATGCACCTGAGCTCAATTTCGAGTCTCATAGCAAAGGGTCTGAATACTTATGTAAATAAGGTACTTCTGTAAGTTCTTTTAAATAGATTTGCACCAAATTCTAAACACCTGTTTTCGCTTTGTCATTATGGGGTATTGTGTGTAGATTGATGAGAAAAAATTACAACTTAATCAATTTTAGAATAAGGTTGTAACGTAACAAAATGTGTAAAAAGGTAAGTGGTCTGAATACTTTCCGAAGGCACTGTGAATGACCGTCCTTTGTTTTTCTGCACTCTCTAAGCTCGGAACATAGTTGCCTATGTTCAATAACATTCCTTTCACTTTTTTTCTCCTTACTCTTGTTTGTGAATATGATGTAGTATCTTAATCACAAGCATTCTGTTTTCATGTATTTTTTGACAAAAGCAGTTGTTAGTTCAAAACTGAAATTGCCTGAATCCTATTTATATTTTGTCTCTATCATTTTGTTCATGTGTTAATATCCACAGAAAAACAAAGACTAAGTGTCACATTTCAATGTAATTGATTTTATTAAGTTAAAAGAAAATCCGTTTTAAAGCTCTTTCTTATTTCGAGGGATTTGATGTATCACTTTAAGAATTGTTAAAATGTTTTATCATTATTCAGCGTTATCTGAACTGTAATTTATTCGCTAATAATGTGTAGTATATTATTTTCATATACTTGACATTGTACTGGTAAAATGCTGTAATATTTAATAAAAACGGTCTCTTATAATAGAGTTGTCCTGAATGATAGATAATAGATGCTTTGTAATTATGTTATTAGCTAATCCAGGTCTTATCCACTAGACACCAAACGAAAGAAAATGAACCTAAACGGGGAGCGACTACCTGAACTTGTCCAATAAGAAACTCTTGTTGGACAATGTTTTGCTACGGTTTGCTACGGCACTAATGCATACTGAATGAGAGAATACATTAGAAATTGTGAGCAGTAATTTACAGAAGAAGAGCATAAGAAAGATGCAAAATATTCTACAGTGCTCCATCCAGTAGCTAGAGGGAGATATAGAGCCCTAATTGAGACTATGGAGCCCTGGACCAGAGCTAGCCACAACAACCACAGCCACAGAGAATGTGGGGCTATGGACCAGAGCTAGCCACAACAACCACAGCCACAGAGAATGTGGGGCTATGGACCAGAGCTAGCCACAACAACCACAGCCACACCACAGAGACTGGGGTTATGGACCAGAGCTAACCACAACAACCACAGCCACACCACAGAGACTGTGGGGCTATGGACCAGAGCTAGCCACAACAACCATAGCCACACCACAGGCATCAGTACCTGCAGCATCCTGTTCCTGAGTCTCAGTGTTGTGTGTGTGACTCGCACAGATTATTCCTCCTTCATACAGTGGACAGTGGCGTACCACAGTTTCATGAGAACATTTCGCAGTTTTAAAGCTAATTTCCTACTATTCTACATATTTTGCTATGAGTCTGAGAGAACATTTTGCAGTTTTAAAGCTAATTTCCTGTCATTCTAAACATTTAGCCATGACTTATGACCTGTTCATATGCTATCTGCGGAGCTCGTGCCTCCTCCCTGCAGGGATGTGTAGTACACCAGACAGTGGAGCAGAGGCTCTGGTGAATATAGCTAGAGAAAGAGAGAGAGAGCTTATTTTATTCAGTCTCTCAGCACCACCAACACAATGAGTCATAATTGCAGGCCCTCTGTCCAGGTCTTTCAGTTCACAGGTCTGTGGGCAATGTTAATCATGTGTGGGTGTGGGGTGTCTGCCAGTCTTTGTCACATCAAATGGAACAGGGAGTAGTAGACATTACAGGGGGACAATATGTTTTCCTCTTAGTTCGTGCAGTTCTCTGAGGGTGGGAATGTCCTTGGTCACTGTGGATCAAAGGATGAGACACAGTATCCCTTGGCCAGACAGACGGATGGACGGTGGACAGACAAGCGAATAGGCACGCGCACGCACAAGAAACAGAGTTAGACACACACACACTCGGGAGATGGAGAGGGGTAAGGTCTGTGCACCAGCATAATGCGCAACATGTTGCTTTAAAGGGGAAACAGGATATCGTGTGTGATGGCAAGTCGGTTCTGTTCCTGTTGCCACAGTAACACCCGTGTGAAGGACCATAAAAACAGCCCACTCCACAGACACACATACACACACGAGCCTCCACCTCCTGAACATACTGCCACTCCAACACACAGAGGAGAGAGGGAACACACTTCAACATGTCTACTGCCTACTCTTCATGAAGAAAGGGCTTGGAAGGGAGGCTGAAGTGTTGGTCTCAGCAGCAGGGGGATTAAAGGAGGAGTGGATGACAGAGGAATGGGGAATGGCAGGATCTATCTCTGGGGCAGACTGCAGGAGGACTGGAGGCTGGGCTCCACAGATACCACAGACCACTAACCTAACGTAGCAGGCACCTGAGCAGATTTCCCACATCTGTTTTTCAGGGGAAGCGGAAGTTAGCTTGAATATATTGTATCCCTGAAAATCGGATGTTAGCGGTTTCTGGCGACCCCACATAGGCTACAGCCCACTGACACACTGTTGAAGGCAGTCATCACAGAAGAGTAAGCAGTGCCTGGGTCCTCCTCCTCCTCCTCCTCCTCTCAGAGCTCCCTCTGCCTCTGCCTAGTCAGTGCCTTCAGTACCACTAGACTCTCTTGTCTGTCAGCCTCGTGCTCCTTTCTCTACCCAGAACAATAGAGGGGATTGCAGCTCCACAAAGACCACAGCAACATTCACAGACAGGCAGGCTGCCATGCTCTCTGGGGTGCTTCAGCCATTTACATTTTAGTCATTTAGCAGACGCTCTTATCCAGAGCGACTTACAGTTAGTGAGTGCATACATTTTCATACTGGCCCCCCGTGGGAATCGAACCCACAACCCTGGCGTTGCAAGCACCATGCGCTACCAACTGAGCTACAGTGGATAAGCCGACTCCTGCCTGCCATTCACCCATGATATGACTGGGATCCTCCTGGGGCCTCCTGGACCAACAGCGCAAAGGGAAGGGAACACTGCCGCTACCTCGCTCTCCAACCAAGGTGCATGAATTGAGGAGCAAACTGAAGTCAAGAGGAAATTCAGCAACTCTTGGAGGATCTTCAGCACAGAGAAAGAGAGAGAGAGAGAGAGAGAGAGAGAGAGA